GTTCCTTCTGAAATATTTTTGGGAGGATAAATAGCCACGGAGTGTATCTTCACCGGACAGTTGTTACTGCAGTTTGAACCATTACTTAAGCTGTGGTAACACGACTGCAAGCTAGAACTGGTTCAGCTTGTTGAGGACCAGAGTCGACTTGGGCCAGTTACCCATATCCAGAAGTGCTCGCTGTCATACAAGGGAAGCCAGCTGACCAGTTCTAGAGCTTGTAAGGCTATCGTGTGTTTCTCAAAGTTGTGCTCAAGCCTCGAGATTGCAGCTGAGAGTAAGAATTGCAAATTGTATAGGGGATCGCTGAATTCCTAGAACTTCCCACTTCCCTAACAATGGAAAGAACTAACTGGAATGTGCTGTCTGACCTGGCGGGTAGGCTTTGATGCCTCCTTCTAACCTTTCCAGTCGCTCTAACCTCTTCCACATAACCTGGATGACTTCCCCTACCCAGTTGCATGGCCTGTTCATCTTTTGTGGGTCATCAACACCCTTCAGGTTCAAAAAAAGTGATGGATCAGTAGACTGGTGTGAGGGGTCTGTAAATCTTCTTCTCAGTAAGTGGAGAGACATCCTCAGGCGGGACAGTTCCTGTTCTCAAGTCATGTTGCTGATACCAGTTTGCCAGAAGCAGGTAGCTTGCTGTTGCTAATGAGCAGTTAACATAGATCTGTTTTAAGGAGATTGAATACATTCTTGCACCCTTTTATAAATTAAACTTCTTGGAAACTTAATTGCTTTTTGGAAGAATTATTGTAGCATTTCTTGCAGACTTGAAAATAATATCCCCAAGATTCTTTGCTCCTGGACACAGCAACTTGTTTAAACTGGAAATTGTAGCTGCTCAAAGATAATTTGGATTAAAAAATAAAACAAAAACAAAGAACTTCCCCCAGTTTTGTTTCAAAAATCCCTGAAGACTCTATGCTAACTCTCTAGGAAGGAAGCCTCTACAGAAAAAAATGCTGAGGCTTCTGTTGTATGACATGACTGACTAGCTTGGTATCTGATCCTCCTGTTGTTCCGTGTCTGATGGACTGGCGTTTCCTCTTCGTTATCCATAGGTGCTACCAGTAGGTTCTGAACTTCCGGCTGGCACTCCATCCAGTGAGCCGCTGCCACCTTTCCCAGGACCTTCACTAACTCAGGTGCTACACGACTTGGCGGATTTTATCTGCTCCTTTTCCTTTCAAAGAGCATGTTTTGATTAAACTCTCCATTGCATGTTATTAATGTCTTTGTTTTTCTTTTCTTTTGACTGAGTAACTGCTTTTGTGTGACTGTAGCGGTAGCCAGAGTCGCTTTAGTACTGGGTATGTGGCTTGCCCTTTGGGGTGCCGTACGCAGCGTCTGAAGTACGGGAACAATTAATGAGGCTTCTTGGGGTTTTTTAGTGTGTTAACCTGAGCTTTAGAGGGTTTTTTAAAACATAACACAGGTGAGTGTGCACATAAAATTTGAACCTGTTTTCTTCTGGAAAAGGTATGGTAGCAAAATAGTAGCTCTTTAGGGAAGCAGTATATACTGCAATTAAATGTTAATGGAAATGCAAAATTGCTGGCTTTGCGAATTCCTGTTTTGGTTTTTTTGCTGTTATTACTACAGTCTGATTTCACTAGCCTTTCAGATTTGCAAAAGGTGTTTGAAGCTCCTGATCATAAACACAAGTTGAAATGTAACAGTGGCTTCCCTTGTTCTGAATCTGTCGTTGTATGCTGGAGTTAGCTTGGGTATTTTGTATGTAAATTCAGCAGGTGATCAGCTCAGGACCACAAAGATCAAATCTGTATTCGCTTGTGTTTAAAAAAAATAGGAAAAACCCTCCACCCTGTAACTGAAAGAACTGTAGACAAAACTGTTTCACGGATCTTCTAAGTGCTGTATAAGGAGATGTAACACGGGAACACTACACTTCAACGTGCAAAGAAGAGCTGAAAACATAAGCAAACCAAACCCATGAGACAGAGCTGTACTACTGTTGAAAGAAGTTTGTGAATAAACACAAAGATGGCTTTCTGTGGAATTATAAAAAAGGGGTGATAATTCTGTGCCAAGTGCACTTTAATATATCCAAACCTGTGAAGGAGATATGATTCAAGTGGGTACCTAGTGGTGCCTGCTGAAGGCTCACGGTAATTTTGTCTTAAATCTGGTGTTTCCTGTGTACGCGTGCTTCTTACAGGATTAACCTCTTCCACCTGTGGCTGAACTCCACTGTGAATAGTCTTAGAATGTGTCCAAAAGCTACGCTTGAATTAGTCTGTCCTCTTATAGAAAGGAATTATTCACTTAAGTCTTGACTACAATTTTAAAGTAATTCTAATAAAATAGCTACAGTATGAAAATTTGTACAACACTTTGTTAGCATTATGGTTTGATTTCATTTTTGTTTTCTTGACTGTTGAGAATTTCAGTGCAAACTGAGCTGACCTTGATAAAGTCCTCTCCATATTGCTCTGGCAACATCCTCCCTCTCATCTCTTCAATGGAGCTCTTGAATTCAAGTTTTACCTGTGGGAGGGAATTTAAAATAAACTTAAAAGGTCATTTTAGTTCTTTGCAAGCTGTCCCTGTTTTGGGATTTACAACAGCTTGGTGAGAAAACTTCTGTCTGAAAGGGTCTAAGCTGACTGTCATACAAAGGAATAGTGTTAGAAAATTGCAAATTTAGACTCTGCTAGGGCAACTTCGGTTAGTGAACTGCCATGGCTCATGTTCTACAGCTAAAACTGTAAAACCTGAACTAAATATATTAGGGTACTAATCTTAAAAGATACCATTGGAATAGTATTCCCACTTCTGTCTTTCAAATGTGAGAACCATGGTATTACCTGGCTCTAAAGACATGAGTAGAGCAGCAGGGCATGTTAGCTGCTTTTGTGTAGTTTTGTGTTGGTTATGACATTAATAGTTCCTTTTTAACTTCTCCAGTGTTTTTCCTCAACTGCTGTCTGTGTGTCTTTATTCAGCAGTTTCTTTAATTCTCCCAGTAAATACCATTATTTTGTGATCTCTTGAGAACCTCTCTTAGTCTGTTTGCTTAGAGTGTGTCCTGGAGGTTAGGATGGAAACAATCTCGTGGACCTAAGTTAGAATGTGCCAAAAGTTGATGTCTCATCCTGGCTAATTCCTGTTCTACCACCTTCTTGGTCTTCATCTGATGGAGCAAATGCCAATCGGTGACCTTAATCAAGGAGTCCTCACAGATGGCCTCTGTCTCTGGAACTGCTTCTTGGTTGTTTCTTCTTATTAATTGAAACATATTTAAATCTTTTGTAAGCAATGAGAATCAGCCCACTACTTGGAAAGTATTATTCAGTGTGAAAAGGCAGAAATTTGTGCTCTTACTATTGAAGAAAACTATGAAAGCAAAGGTAGGGCTCTGGAAACCTGTCAGGGAAAGGAGTGCTGCTGTATTGGGTTTTGTGCAGGTTCTTTCTAGCAGGGTGAACAGGGGCCATATTCCTGCCCTGTGAGTAATGGGCAAATGGATGTCTTCTACCTCCAAGCTGGGCGGGAAGCTGACTGACTCACATAGAGCTGGAAGATGCTAGTGACCTTTTTTTCCTTCTGGCTTCTGGAGGCAGAAGCTGGTTATGCCTTTCAGTCAGTTTGTTCTGTAGCACGGCTTTGCTGAAGAGGAGACAAGGACAATTTGGTGATAATTTTTACCTGCGTTCTTACTGTGAGCAAGGGTAGCAAATAGATTTGGGGGCAGCTGGTTGAAATCAGTCACACGAAGTTTGTAGTCATTTTTATTGTCATTGCTTAGAACTGGGTGTGTTAGTCATGTCTTCCCCCAAACTCCAGGCACTTGTAGCCATCAAGCCACTGTACCGCTGCAGAAGGCTTCTTCCCGTTTGTTGTAGGTATTTCTGTCAGGAGTTGTGGTATGGAAGAGGCACAAATACAAATCCGTTGCTTCTTGTCCTTTGCAAACAGCATACCCAATTTCATTTCTCATTTGAACTCGAAAGCCTGTCTAGGAGTGAGACAAAATTGGAGGAGACCAGCTGGATCAAATCTAATTGAGTGTGAAGAGCATTTGCTGCTGTCACATAATACTGTCTGGAAAATTACTGGCTTGTCTTAAAGTAGCCAGGCTGGCCGTCCTTACTGCTGCTGTCAGTAGCTCGTTACACAACTTTGTTTTTTGTGTCCGTCCTTAGTACCAGACTCCTAATTTGCAGACAAAGTACGTGTCATCTCAAGACCAGTTTTGGGCAGTGTGTTCCTTAGTCTTAAATACCTGTTCTGTTTATTCCTTAATTGCTTTTTAAAGTGTATTTAGATTAATTTCTTAACCTTTATTTTGCTACCCTTGTTCCATAAGGAAGTCTTTATTTGCTGATTGTGCTGATAACTCAGCTCTTTGCTTACTTGAAGCAAATATCTTCTTGTGAGCATGTGATGAGAATTGTACAGTATTTCCATTGAAATGTCCTCTTTATTTTACAGTATTATTGAATTAAATTAGCTCACTTGTCTGTTAAGTGTTTGGATTTCTGAATAGTCAGAGGTCTGCATCAGCTTGTGCTTTTTTTTTTTATTTGGATGAAATTGATACAGGGTTTATTGTTTATTCTTAGGTTTTTTGGTTGTGTTTTGAAATCCCCACAATTGAGGAACAACGTTGTCCTGGCAACCCATTGAAAGCATCTTGATGCTACTGGGTACCTTAAAGTTTGGGTTTCTTGAAAGCAGAAGCTAATGTGTTTTTGTTGCTGTGATCTCAGCTTCAGTTCTAAAAACAGATCTAGCTTTTTGATATAAAAGACTTGGAAAAAGTAATGATCCTAAAGTTTGGATAGAAATTTCTACTCAATAGGGTCAGAACTGCAACTTAGTGATATCTGCCAACACTTTATTTTTCCCTGTGGATCTTATGGGTGTATGGCCCTAATTACTAATTTTGAGTGAATACGAACTTTTTCTTATCTTCAAGAGATTTTTAGGCAATTCTTCTGCTCTTCTCCAATTCAGTTGGCCAAGTCTGAAAAACACCTTGGATGCCAACTCAAATAGCTAAAATCTAAGCAATAAGCATACTTGAGAGAGATTCTGCCCCTCTCACTCCTCAAGTCCATCCATCCAAGTTCCCTCCAAGCAGCTATCTGGAAGTGGTGTGTGTTTTTATTTTTTTTTTTTAATTTTGTGTTATCCTCAATCTTGCTTTATCCATGCTGGCTTTTGAAGTTATGGGCATATTTAGGAGTTTTTTTTTCCTGTGGTTTTTTTTTTTCTGATTTACATTCTTCAAGGTTTTTGATAATTCATGATACAAATTGCCTCCGTTATCCTCCAACTGAAAAATGTAGAGCTTGGAGGCTTGCAGCATCTTTGCTCAGTTCTTAAGAGTGGGAATGCAAACTTTATGCTAACTTCAGGAAGAACAGAAGTTCCAGTTAATGCGTCTTTTCTGTTTTTTACCAGATGTGTTGCTTAAATTGCTTCCAGTATTACTGTTCTATACATGCTAAATGTAAACATGTCGGAAGGGAACATGATAGAAATATGGAAGTTGTACTGACTGCTTTGTATTTTAGTATTAAATATGGCTGTTTCTGGCATGTGATGTATTTCTCCTGAGCTGGGACAGCTGTTTAATGTTTCCTGTCTCAGTCCCAACAGCCCCTGGAAGATCTGGATGCTAAACTGAGAAGAACCCTTAGTCCGGAGACCGTTCCAGTGACATCTTCTCCTGCCTGTGTACGTTTGCAATGTTGGAGTTTAGTAGTCTTGAAAAACTTCAGTGTTTTCTCAAGGTCATGCCCTTAGGTCACTGCCTTTAATATCCCTACACCAGTCTCTAGACTTTTAAAAAGAAAAACGAAGAGTTTGTGGGACTGAGTCAACAAAAATAGGAAAAATCTGTATGTTGCGATATATTCTTTCCTGAGGCTGGTTTTGGTATTAGTTCTTAATCCAGCTTTTCTGGTGATGTTGTTAATGCCACCAAACTAGAAGGGGAAGTGACAAGGGAATAAGGGGAAAGAGCACGAAACAAGCAGTATGTGATATGTCAGTCTGAATTTGGGAGGGATGTTTAAAGCGTGGATCTGAAATGTTAAAAGACTATAATAATAAACTTCAATACAAAATGAAGATAATGATGGACATTGTGATCTCCAAGCGGCTGCTTATGCATTACTTCTGCAAAGCGAAAGGGGGTGTTCTGCTGACAGCCTCAGGGTTGTAAAGCATGCAGAATCTCTTGCTGATGTTGCTTGCTTTGGAGGTTAAAATATCTTGCATTTTTCTGGTTGTGGGTCATACTTTGATCCTAGTGAAAATATAAGATTATGTAATATGCAGGATGGTAGATGTGTTGGCATTCAGTCAAACTGCTGTTTCTTTTAACTGAATTTTGTTTTCCCCTCTTGAACCTGTAGTCTGTGCCCTCAGTAGCATCTACAACAGTTACCGGGCTGGTGTCCCCAGCAGCACAGTCTCTGAAGGACGGTAAGGCAACCTGGAGTGTTTTAGATGGTTTCTCAGCGTGGAGGTATAACCAGATTGAACAGACTAGCAACTTGGAAGGATATAGCCTTTTTAGTAAGTCATGCAATGGCAATTCCTTAAGGGTCGTATTAGTTCTTAGTAACTAGACTGGAATTTTCCACTGTAGGCCAGGACAGGGTAATGACATATGCATATAATAGTAACTCATTTAGGGTGTAAAGCTGTCAAATACGCTAGGTTAAGACTTGCAAATAATCTCCAGTATGCTGCTAAGGTACAGCTTCAGGATTTGAAGGAACTGTTTTCTGCCTTGTGGCTTCTCAGCAACAACAGTAAGACTTCTCATTTTGCATCATCGTGCTGTGTTCTAGATGTAGGATACCTCTTCCTAACTTGAGTGTTTGCTTTCTATTGAAATTGAGAAATGAAGGTTAAACTACTAAAAATTTAAGAAAGTTAGTAAGGAAAGCTTTGGCTACTTTAGAATAACTGAAGGTTGACTGGATGGTCAGCAATTGAAGTCTGAATGATCAATGACTGGGGATGGCGGGGTGGGACCCAACAACTTGCAAAATAGTCTGAGACTTTTCCTGTCGGTATTCCCCTAATTGTTCTAATTTTAAAAATCTTAATTGTTTAAAAGAAACCGTTAAAGTGGTACTAAAATTATTTCTGAACTAGCTAGTAAACATTATTTAACTTGCATGTGCCTCTGAAGTTCAGTGACAAACCTTCAAAAGCTAATAAAACCAGTAGGAAAATAGAATATTCCCATTTTGGTATGCTGGTAGTGAGCTATACTGTAGAACTTACGTGTCTGCTAGAAAATGAGGTTGGGTTTTGCCTGCTAAAGTTTAGAAGGTACAAGTAAACAAACTGGGAAATTGCCTAATAAACACAGCAACCTCTCCAATAGAAGTGATGTAAAAATAGAATGTTATTTCTCAGCTTTGTAACTGTATACTGCCAGCAAAAAAACTAGGAGCTGACACCTAAGAATCCAGCTCTGAAAACTTTGGATAGATTGCTTTGATTAAATGTGGTTTATAGCATTTCTTCAACTTACCACTGTTCTGTTAATAAATTGTCTCCAGTGTTTGTGAAATTTAGGTAGTCTGTGTGAGTATTGCATTAAAATAAGCTTTTTCTTACAAAAATTTTAGTTCTGCTTTTTGTTCTTTGGCTATTTCACATCCCTGTTTGCAATCAGTCTTTTTTTGTTTTTACTGCTACCCCAAAAATGCACTTTTAGCAAGTAATACTGTGCAGGGAAACTTTATAGAAAAATACTTCACTTTAACATTGTGGTTTGATATTCTGTATGCTAAAGTTGGAAAAAAACAAGTCAGGTTCCATGAATCTAGCGGCCTGTTAGGACTTAACTGATAGTTGAGTTTGAAGTAGGTGGAAAGAAATGGTTGGAGTTCAAGTAATTTGTTGCTTGTTTTCTTCTTAATCCCGTTCTCCTGTTCCTTAGCTTCAGCATCGTGCGGTGGAGAGAGTGGTGCTATGGCCGCCGCAGCAGGAGCTGGGGTTCTGAAGATGGGACGATTTCAGGTAGGCGGTCTTCAACGGATTTGGCTGTTGAGGATCTTCACTTGGCAGTTCCTGCCTAGTGCCAGCTCAGTGTGCCTCGTGGTGGGCTTTGCTGTCAGCAGAAAAAGTCCACGTTGGTCTTGTGAACACGGTGCTTTGTGCAGATACTGTCTGCATCCAGGGCAGAGATTGCCCTAGATGCTGCAGGTCTCCAACTGTGAACGCAGCATTTCACCATGTCAGGCCGTGGCTGTGTGACTGTTGGTCTTGATCTTTAGTGTCAGCTGCTTTTTGGCTAGCAGACTCAGGTGGTCACTGTATTTTGTCCCATTTGTGAAGGCAGTCCCCTCTGAATCTGCTGTTTTTCTTGATGTTAATCCTCCAGATCGCTTAGAACTGCTATTTTGTGTGGCAGTGTGTTACTTGCGGGGAAGCAGTAGTTTGATTTGTGGCATACCAAGGAAATAAATTTCCCCATCTTGATAGAAAGGGAAAACAAAAACATCGTGTTAAGGAAGAACTAAGAAAGCCTGTATGATTGCATTTCTCTGCTAGGTGTCCGTGGCAGTGGATGATGTGCTGAAAGAGGGTGACAAACCTGAAACTAAGCCGGTGCAATTTGAAACCACCTCCACTGATTCTTCATCGCTTTCTGGCAGTAGCCCAGAGAGTACACTGGTAAAGCAGGCTGGCGGTCGGAAAAGTGAGGCTGTTGCCGACGCTTCCTTGGATGTGGTAGATGGCATTCCTCAAACAGTTCCCGTGCTGCAATTACCAGTAGATGTTGGTCAGCCTACGAAGGTCGGGCGCTTTCAGGTAACAACAACAACGGATCAAGTGGGGCGCTTTGCGGTGTCGAAGACTCGGGATGAGGTCAGCTGTGCAGAGAAAGAGCCAATGACTCTTCCTCTCTCTGTGGACTTGGAACAAGTTGCTGCTTCAGCTGCAGCTCCGAAGAAAGAGCTGGAGTCAAGGCAGTCCCCACACATGAACGGTCCGTCCTCCGAACCGGAGGCCGCCTTCTTAAGCGGGATGGCTAAGGATTTGGATGACGGCTCGGGGAGCCCAGACTCCCTGCAGCCCCTGGGGTCAAAGATCAGCCTCCCCGTCCAGAGCCTCAGCAACTCGTTCAACTCTTCCTACATGAGCAGCGACAACGAGTCGGATATTGAAGATGAAGACTTGAAGTTGGAACTCCGTCGGTTACGGGAGAAGTAAGGCTTTTTTCCTTGTGTGGTCATGTATGAAATATGTAACGGGGTTAATGTGAATTTCATCTGTACTTCTACTTTTCACAAAGAACAGAAGCAAATTTTTTAAAAGACTCAACCTTTGCTAAATGGCAGGACCCATTGTCAGTGTTTGTGGGAAGTAAGATTCTTTCATGGGAAAGCAGCATGTAATTATAACAAAAAATGTAGATACGTGCTTGCTGTGCTTAAGTTTCTAACCTGTCGAGTGTGTTTATGTAGATTGATAGCTGCGCGATGGGTAGGTAAGACTGCAGATGTATAGAAGCTTTTGCATATCATGGAAGCTTATTTAGTGGGAATAGTGGTGTCTCATTTGAAAATGACACACAACTCTGCATTTCTAATACGCGTTTCTGGCATTTCTAATGGTTCACCTTTTCCTGAGGAATCCTTGTTGGCTTAGGAAAAAATTTAAAGTCAAGCGAGGCGACCTAATTTATTTATACTGAAGGTTGAGCAGTTTTTAGGGCAGCTAGCGATTTTAAATCTTGTGTATGCAACTGCTCTGAAAAACCTGAAGAAATACAAATGTAAACGTCTCCAAGGCCATGTGTCTCATCAAATAAGTAGTTTAGCTGTTCCCGTAGCATGTTAATGCTGAAATAGTTGATCTGCTGCAGTAGGTATTTGTTCTTGTTTGTACTTCCATTTATCCTGGTTTTATGGTTAGAGTGTTGGGAACTTTGTGTTGGAATTCTAGCCAGGGAATAGAAAATGGCAAGTGTTCTGCCAAGTACATTCAGTGGTGGTTTGTGGAAAAGACTGACTTTCTCCTTTCTTAAATGTTAGTTAGTGGGCGTTTAACCAAGTAAGCTGGTGAAGCTTGACTGGAGGGGAGGGTTCGTATGCACACAGGTATATACATATAATTTTTTTTTAAGTCATACTCTTTTGTAACTTGTTAGGCACCTTAAAGAGATCCAGGAGCTGCAGAGTCGCCAGAAGCAGGAGATTGAGTCACTGTATGTGAAATTGGGAAAGGCCCCACCTGCGGTAATTATTCCCCCCGCTGCACCCCTTTCAGGAAGGAGGAGACGACCTACTAAAGGCAAAAGCAGCAAGTCCAGTCGGAGCAGCTCCCAGGGAAATAAGAGCCCGCAGCTATCAGGTCAGACTTTCTTCAATTTTTTGAGTAGATAACGTGGACAGGGTGCTGTCTCTCAGTCTGAGGTCTGTGTCTGTCTTGTCTGTTGGAGCGGGGGGGTGTGTGTGTTCCAGTTACTCCACTGCCTGGATTACTAGATCATTTGGGAAATAGCTTTTGCTGTTTGGTAGTCTTGCTTGTGACTTTTGCAGTCTACGGAAAGATCATGTTACATTGTTCTGTAAGAGAAGTTTTAAAGTTGTTTTTAGAGATTAGTCACAGGCCTGACTAGGAAGAAAAGTGTAAATCCACAGTACGGGGGGAAAACTTTGATTTATTTTTTTAATCTTCTTTTTTGAAGATTAACTCTTGTTCCCTCCTAAAACTGATTTTGTAGAATGGGGCTGGTCTTTTCAGTCATCTTCAGAGATTTTTTTTTTTCCCTACGTTAGTAACACTTAAGCATAGTATTGCTAGTGTCCTTACACTTGAGAAACTTAGTCACAATTGATGGATGTTAATAAAATAGTGATAATTCTAATGTTGTGATTTTTTTTTTTTTGTACTTACAAATTGAGAAAGTTTCAATTGTCAAGGCTTCCTTTCTTACTAAACCATTTTTATAATAAGCAGAACTTGGAAAAATAGTTCTGTTTACTGTTTGAATGACGTGGATGCCAGGCGCTTGCTGGGTAATTGTAGAGGTCTCTCAAATCCGGTAGCTTGGAGTAAACAATGTTGGAGGGCTAGCGCTGAGCAGAAATACTTGGTGCTGCTTCCTGCACGCTCACTTTGGCGATTCCACATCGCGCTGCGGTTTCTGTATCCAGGCACCCTGGCTGCTCACTTCTGTTCTGTTCTGATAGTGGAGCTGTGTGTGAGCATGTGATGGTGAGCTAGTACAGAGTTGCCTGAAAACTTGAGTCAGTAAGAATTTTTCTTTACTGCTTTCTCAGAAACTGGAATACTCCCCTCCCCCTGTCCCCCTGTCTCTTGCCTGGATTTTCACACTTGGCTGGAGGATGGTAGCCTCTTCTCCCCCAGCACAGCACCTTTTCCTGTATCAATGGCATAATAGCTCAACTGATCAATGGAGTTACGTAGTAGTGACTTTGCTCCCCAGTAAATGCTCCAGTCAAACTTTCCTCTGTTTTTCCTCCTGTCCCTTGGGAACGATGACAGAAGCTTCAAAAATGATGTGGGGAAACCGAAACGGTGAACGACTTTTTACCTTCTTCCTCTAGGCAATCTGTCAGCTCAAAGCGCACCATCAGTCTTGCCCCCACAGCAGACTCTTCATCCTCCTGGTAGTGTGCCAGAGACTGGGCAGAACCACTTGTTACAGCCCCTCAAACCTTCACCTTCTAGCGAAAATCTCTACTCTGCCTTTACCAGTGATGGTGCCCTTTCGGTACCAAGCCTTTCGGCACCAGGCCAAGGTAAGACTGGAAATGGAATTAGTGTCGAGTCTTGCACCTTTGTTACTGGTGAACAAACGATCAGCTTGGCACTTGAGATTTCATACATAGCATAAAGTAGTTTGGTAGTCTCCAACCTATGCATGAAGGCTATAAGGGTGTTTTTTGCAACTAGGTTTCTACCTTCTCACATAGATGAAGTGTGAGGCTGTTGAAGTAATGAATATATAGTGCATGGCCCTGTCGGCTGTAACGAAAGCACCAAGGAGAATACAAGAGAGTGCAGTAAGGTGGTGGCAAGCAATGTTCTGCTGACCTCAGGAAAGTATTGGCTGAGGGCGTGAGGAGGCAGATGAGAATGGGGAGTTGGAAATGTGAAAGTATGACTAAGGAAGGGGCAGAGCAGCTTTGGTGTTAACAGCTAATTGAAATGGTAGGAAATATCTGAAGACTCGGAGTCCTTTTAGACTTCCAAACAGCTTTGACTGTTTCTGTCAATTAATTTTTTAACAATAGAAGGTAAAAAAAGCTGATGTTCTGCAATTGTGAGTTAAAGGATTATCTTGGAAGGAAGAGTCAGTGTAGGAGGATGGAATGGTGGGAATAAGTTGTTCATTACTCAAGTTGTGGACTCCTTGTTATTAGTGTGCTACCAATGAATTTCTCAGACACGGCTCTGATTTATTTGGTAGGGAGGGCTTTTTTGCTTGCCAGTCGTTAAGGGGCTGATCGTTTGATTCCTTTACTTCTCTAAGCTTGGCTGTTCGAGTTTTTCTCCCCTTGAACATCTTTTTGGAAAGCTTTGCCATAGGCTGACTGAATACATCAATTCTAATGCATGCTTTTGCTGAGTTGGAGAAGTACAGACAGAGAGTGGAAACAGACTTTTTGGAAGAATTTTCTATAGGTGTTTTTTCAGTGAACTGTTTCAAGTATTTTGGAGGTACTTGAATCATCTCCCTGTGTCTAGAGTTGTGCAGTACTGTTTTACAGTTGGATACTTTTGCCAGGATTTGGCTTTCCTAGAGATTGCAACCTTATTGTTGGGTTATGTACTGGAGAGCAACACTGCAAACTTGGCCTAATGTTTGGAGGTGTTGGAGGGAGTCTCTTCACTCCGTATGTTGTCTGCATACTCTCTGGTCCACACTTTGAGGCCTATTCTTGTGTGTCATGTTAATGCATTTCACCCTTCCAACCTCAAGTTGCTAACATCTTGTAGTGGTGTTCTGTCTCTTCCTCTCCTTTCTCTGTTCTTCCCGTTTTTGTTTTCTCACAGGCTGTGCGAAGTTTAACTGTGCATCTGAGAGAGTGACGTTCAAGCCTGGTGGCAGGAGGACCCGATTTCTGAGTACGCCCTGCTTGGCTCTTTGTGTGTAACACCTTTACTCCTTCCTTGTCTGGTTTTTGTTTTGTCTTTTATTTTTTTTTTTTCCTTGCTGCTTGGATCTGTTTCATGCAGCCCATTCTCATCTGCCACCTTGTGTTTCCCTCCCATCCCATGGCTCAGCTGAGCTGCTGCTCTGAACACACCTTGAGAAGTTTGGGTTCTCGTGTTAGGTGTTCTCTGTTGTTAAACTCATAATAATAAGCGCTCATTTTCTCTAAGCTTTTGGTGGAAACTTTATCAGGACAGTTCAGTGAAATGACAGAAACTGGGGAGAGTTAGCAAAGTTGTGGGTGCATCGGCATTTTCTTTTGGCCTGCCTTAGTGATTACGCTTCAGTGTGTGTTAGCTGATGTGAGACGTGAAGGGGAGGCAGTCTTTCTAGTGGAACAGTGAGGAAGATTTGTTTTCCAAATTACAATAGTGTCCAACTACTATGTGACTGGGGGGGGAACGTGTTGGCAGTATGCTCCCTGTGCCAGCTGGAGGTGGCTTTGTGTCCTCAGCGCTAGTGCTGATCACAGTGCAGAGCATGGATGCCACCTGTAGGCAGTTCAGCCCCACTCCTCCTGTTGGTTAGCAGATGGGTAGCTAAAGATCGAAGTGTTGAGGGCTTTAAATACTTGGAGAATATTTTCAGGCAAACTCAGAAGATCCTTACCTACTAATTGGCCCAGGTTTAGAAGTTCTTACTGTGAATTAGAGACTGAACTTAGTGTGAGTTCTTACTGAGAATTACACACTTACCTTACACAGTGTAAGACGTCCCTGCCCATGGCAGGGGGGTTGGAACCAGAGGATCTTAAGGTCCCTTCCAACCCAAACCATTCTGTGATTCTGTGAGTTGGAAATAACCCTAAATGTGCAACAAATAGCACTAGAGGTGGGTAAATAGGCATCTTCAGACGTCCTGTCAACTCTCCTGAGTTCCCTTGCAGCCCTGTTCAAACCCTTTCGTTGGTACTTCCATTAGGCCAGATTTACCAGAGAGCCTCAAACTTCTGATGTGGTTGAAATAATGATGTGCTTGAGCCGAGGCTGCTGCTGTGATGCTTTCTGTTGGGAGTGCTGCAACACCTCCCATGCTGCTTCTGCAGGCTGGACCCCTTAAATGTCCAACGTTGGTTTCCCACCCTCTGGAATGACTTGATCTGTGAGAGCTTGCGGTGCTGTGAAGAGACCTCCATGGCTGCCCCGCGTGACGGTACCGCGCATCGGCGGCGTCTGTCTCGCTGCCGTTGGCCGTAGCACGGCTGAGCCGGAGCGTTGCGCGCGGGAGCTAGGCCTGGCCTTCTGCAGAGACAGCTGCTGTGCAGGCAGCTCCGTCCTCTGAGCAGGGGAGCGAGTCGGAGGGAGGGGACGTGTGTTCCTGGCTGTTCAGTTTTGCAATGATACCTCTAGCCCACTTCGTTGGGTTCATGGGGGTGTAAGTACTAATGGCATTGAATTTTTCAAATTGAGCAGCTTTCAGCGTGTCTGATGGGTGTATTAATGTGCAGGTGGGCAGTAACCGACATCTGCAATCTCAAGATTTGTGGCTCCTTCCTTGGAAGAAGTTAAATTCTTACCAAGGATGACTCTTTAAAATCCTCTGTAGTCTGGCCTGTCCTTTGTGGTGGTGGGGAGTGGAAAGAACACCCATTCCAGGTCTAGAATTGACAATGAAGTGAACATACCAATGTATCAATTACTTAGAAGGCCTTGGCTTGCTGCAAATTGACCAACATCTGGCTGTACGAGTGCTTTGGCATGTATACCTCTTGCTTGTGGGCCTGGTGCTGAGGGAGATGGGTTCCTCTTGTTGTGGCCGTCCTGTGAAAGCAGGTAACACTTGGCATGGCGCAGCTTGGCCTGGCGCTTGGCTTGTCGCAGGTTGCTTGCTTCCCGGAGTCTTGTCCTTCAGATGCTCTTGCAGACTGTTGTGGAGAGTGACGACTGGAGAAGGTGCTGGGTTAGAATCAGCCATGTTGAGGAAACAGTGCAGTAACTGATGCTTTTTAACTGTGCAGCTGGAGAAACAGAGTGGTACAGCTTGGCAGGGAATGCCTGGACTATGCCACAGATCTGAGAAAGGAGGGTGACAAGCTATGAGCACTTGACCTATCAAATCTTTCTTACATTGTAAACCTCTCAAACCTTGGTAGCTGTAAAATGCTTCCTACTTGCTGACAAAAATGGGAGATGGACTTGCTTTTGTGACAACAGCCAGCTGTGGCAGCAATGTCTCCTGACATTCTTCCCTACCGTTTTGGAGGTCTGAAGAACAAACGTAGGAGGCTGGGCCACTTTGCTTTCGGAAAGTACAACGGATTCCAGTGGCAGACCAGTCTTTGGGTTTTCCCTAGAACGTCCCAGTAGTGACTACGAGAGCCCTGCTGTGCTGTGTCCTCTGTTTCTCACCAAGCTTTTTGTACTGTTTGCTGATACTAAACATTTCTCACTGTTTCTCTTATCTTTAACAAATTACTCTCTCTTTGTGCTTCAGGGAAGATGGTGAAAAAAGTCTGTCCTTGCAACCAGCTCTGTAGTAATTATCTTATTTCTGTTATCTCGAATTCCTGATTGTAAAGCTATTCATCAGCTTTTTCTGGTCACTGAAGCCTTACCTCCCTGACTCTGTCTCCAGCACAGCATCTGTCTGTCTGTGTTATGCCCTCTAATGTGTACTCTGTCATTAGTATCTTGAATAAATAGCCTGGCTGTTGCTCTTGCAGACGAGTGGAGGCAGGCAGAACCTCACCTTCACTGTGGAACTCGTTGCTCATCGCTAAGAAGAGCGAACTGAGCAGCAGGGTCAGTTGCTCGCTGTAACGTGCCAGAGCTGTACCTCTGAGCAGCTGGTTGGTTTGCAGATCTGATGGGGCTTTTCGCCTCAGTGATGGACCCAATGGCAGAGACTCCTTCAACACTGTAAACGAGTAAGAGTAAGCTGTCAGATCTCCAGTGTATCTCCCAAAGCAAGAGGCGTTTAGAAAAGCCTGTGTGTGCTCGTGTCATTTAAGACTGTTTTAAAGGTGTCTTTTGACCGCTGGTTCATAGCGGGGAGGACTGGAAGGGCAGAACGAAGGCATTCTAGGTAGCAGGCTGGAGAAGGAGAAGCCTGTCTCACTTGAGACCCTTCGTGTCAGAGCAGAACTGGGGACGGCTGCTGTGACCGAGAAGGAATGTGGGGGTTGTTTCCATTGAATGCTACCAGTTGAAGTGCTTGCTCTTCAGACTCTTCTGGATGGCAGTTTCTGCGGGTGCTGGCTACGTCAGAGCTAAAATGTGAAATTCCTGAGAAGCTGTTTTGTAAAATGACATTACGTGGGAGCTTTAGTAATGACATAGCTCACCTATAATGGTGTAAGCTGCTCTGTCTGTCACCTGAGGTAGGAGCTCCCTAAGAAAAATCACTTTTGGAGACAAGGCTCCCACAAGCTCCCACCTTTCCCACTCTCAACCAGTCCACTCTTTTGCAAAACACTTGATCTTTCACGTCTTCATCTCGCTGCGCTGTAGTATACACCATACCTCAACTGATTCTCTCCCTTCCGTGGCCTGAGGAAGCTCTCCCAGCGTAGGTCCAGGATCCACTGCACTTACTGATTAAAGTGGAATTGTGAAATATCAAAAGCAGATACTGACCATCAGGAAGAGGGTGAGAGCGAGCGTGTCAATCCCTGCATGAACCCTCACGGTGGAATGTGATTATTACTGGTTTTGGCAGCTCCCCCACGTACCTCTTTCTGGCTTTTGCTTCATTTGTCTTTAATTTCACCTTTCACATCATTGCTCTTACTAAATAACTGCGTTGTGAGCCCTTTCCACATGATGCATGCTGAAAGTTCTGGTGATTTCACTGTGGATTTTCCTTGCCACCTGCCAGTGTGTTCCTATTGCTCTTCCTGGGAGCTGCAGCTGCACACCCTGGGCAGGGAACCCTGCTCCTTCCTCTTCGTGTGCGCTGCAGCATGCGTCTGCCTGCCTGCAGCACCCGGGCCGGGAGCCGCTTCCATGCTTGGGCTGGAGCTGGTGGGAGGGATATGTATCCTTCCCTCCTCAGCACTACTAGAGGTAGTAACACTTTGCTCATTGGTCCCGCATAGTAAGTACATCACCTTCCTGATTCACTCCTCAATCTACAACATTCCTGCAGGGGTTTGGAGCCGGTTCGTTCTTTGATACCGCGGTCGCAAGGAACGCGGCTGGTAGCCAGGGGAAGCGGAACAGACGAAGTAGCTGTCAGGCAAGACACCGCGGCTCCGGCGTTTGGCCTTTGCCACGGAGAGAGAATTCTCATTGCTGGCGTTTTTGATGCTCCACTTTTAACCAGTTTGCTTCAGAAATGTCCACCCTACTCGGGTTTTCTTGGATTTCCCGGTTGCCGTCTTCAGAGTGAGCAAGTAGAGAACTGTTTGAGGAACGTTGAGAAGTGAGTAGGTGAGGACGTGTGCTGGCAAGGAGTGCGCTGGGCTTAGCGCAGCGGTGGCCGGGTACTGATTTTGTTGTTTAGTTTTTGTACGGTGGATTTGAAAAACGTAGGTCCGTTCTGCCTCTGCCGTGTCCTTCAGAAAAAGTCTGCCCTAGAGGTCAGCTGTCACTTCCACATCTGTAAATGAGGATACTTCGCAGGACTCCGGGGAATTTAGGATACTCGATAATACGCAGTTCCTTGGAGTCCTGTTACGAGGTCTGCCTTTGAAAAACCAAAATTTGAGAGCAGTTGCTTGTTTTTAAGTGTGAGGGGGATAGTGCAGCTATCCAAAACAAAGCTTCTAGATGATTTTTTCTTTTCTACAGGACAATCTCCAGCAAGCTTTCTAGCAGAACTAAAACCTGGAATTTATGTGAAGGTTTTTTTGCGTGCTTGCAATCAACCTGGTGAATAGAAAAACTTGTCAAAGCGCGTCTGAGGAACCACGCTCGTTTCTGCCGCCTTTAAGCTGTACTAGTGGTTTGCATCTGAAACTCTTGTTCTTCTGACGTAGGAAATCTGAACATCATGGCAAAAAAATGCTTTCAGAGGCAAAAGGCAAAATGTAATGCAGTTGCAGACTTCCCCTGCTGATCCTGGCTGCTGGGTGGATGAAGGCAGTCCCGTCTGGTTATTGCCAAGAGCAGACGTGTGGCAGCTAGTGGCAGCAGCAGTGGCTGTTTCTCACTGTGGCTTTTTTGCGTGGTCTGGGTGAATTTTTCACTTCATTTTACAAAGTGGAGATAATTTGCTACAGAGCAGCTGGTGGTGCTGATTGTCCTGCTCCTTATTCAGCATCCAGCGTTGTCCTCCAAGGTGGAACTGACCTGTGCTGATAGTGGCTGCTGCTAATTAAAAGGTGTAGAATGAGAGAATGCCGTGACTGTACTGTCATTCGGTGCTGAAATCCAGTCTCCTTTTTCCTCTGCAAAGACCTGTAGGCTGCTGCCATTCCCCTCCTAAGATGACTACTGGCAGCACTTCTTGAAAAGTAAACCTGTCTATGAAATACTCCATATCTGAGAAAATGCCTGTAGGAGCCCTTGTAGTTCCCACTTCAGTGTGTCCTGGAATTGAAACTTAGAATTAATCTGCATGGCGTTGCAACTGGCTCTTGATTGATGTACCATGACCGCAATTATTAAATTTCCTGGAGAAAGATGATCTTTAACCTAAGTTTTGATTGCTGTTTCTTGTATTTGTAGGGACCAGCAGCACGAACACAGTCGGGGCTGCAGTGAGCAGCCAGGCACCCCAGTCTCAGCCTACTGCTATCGCCTCGAGCCGGAAGGGGACTTTCACCGACGACCTGCACAAGCTGGTAGATAACTGGGCCCGAGACGCCATGAACCTGTCTGGCAAGAAAGTTGGCAAAGGGCATAGCAACTATGAGGTGAGATGTCACTGGTCACCTGCACAAGCTGGTAGATAACTGGGCCCGAGACGCCATGAACCTGTCTGGCAAGAAAGTTGGCAAAGGGCATAGCAACTATGAGGTGAGATGTCACTGGTCAGCATTTATGGTGAGAAACTGTCGGCGGTGTTGCTATCCCCTCAGGGTGTCAGACGTGGCTAGAGTGTGGTCACCGTAGGCAGCTGCTCTAGAGAGCCGTTGGCCTTTGGCGTGCAGGGTTGTGTCGTCTGCTCTGGAAGGGGATGACCGCAGAGGAGGGCCATGGCGTGGGCTTGTAAACGTCCGCTGGGAAGGGCGTGTGGACCAAGGGGTCAACCTGCGGTTTTTAAGCGCTCTTCAGTAACTGTTCTTGGGGGTTGGGTTTTCTTTCAGGGCCCTGGAATGGCAAGAAAATTCTCGGCACCGGGTCAGCTCTGTATCGCCATGACATCTTCCCTGGGTGCTACGCCCATCTCTGCAGCATCAGCTACCTCTTTAGGCCCCTTCACCAAGGCGATGTGCCCTCCGCAGCAGTACGGTTACCCAGCAGCGTCTTTCGCCGCTCCGTGGAGCGGGACGGGTGGTCCAGCACAGCCACCGCTCGGCCAGTTCCAGCCCGTAGGCGCGGCGTCTCTGCAAAGCTTCAACATCAGCAGTTTGCAAAAATCGATCAGCAACCCTCCAGGCTCCAACCTGCGGACCACTTAGCCGCGCTCGGAGACCGTGCTGGCTAGACCTCGGGACAGGCCGTGGGGAGGGGGATGGGGCCCTGTGTCAACTGCTAGCGCTGCAATGAACTGGTAGCGTGCCAGACAGGGAATGAATTTCTCTTTTCCAACCGTTGCTGTCCCAGGCGCTTTCGAGGGGGAGGAGGATGGTCAGCATCCTGACGATGGGACGGCGCTTTTGACCGAGGGGTTCTGCTCTTGTGTGGAACGAGAGCTGCGAAGAGAAGTCACGGGGTCAGTTAACGCAGTCTTGCTGTAAAATTTTCTCTCTGGTTTGAGGCTGAACCCACGCGTGCGGAGGTGGGGGAGCCGAATCCTAGCATGAGGCTTTAGCACGCTTCTCATCTCTCCCCGAAGACCCAAGAGGAGGAGAAAAGCTGTCCGAATCCCCCTCCTCTCCCTCTCCCTAGTCCATCGTATCTGGCTCCGAAACGATGGGGCACACAAAAGGACTTGCAGTGCAGCCCGTGCTTGATAGGTCATTACTGCTTTAAGTAAGATATTAACAGCTTTGACTGCAGCATTAGAGCAATTTAAATTGTTTAAAAAATTTTAAAAGTTCCCTGCGGACATGTACTTACCATCAGTTTTGATGTGGAAACACTGTGATATATAAATGTTGTTGGACAACAGTAGTTTAAAAATGAGTGGAATATAGAGGGTTAAAAAAGTTAAAAAGAAAAAAATGGGAAAAAAAGCTAGCTATATCCTTATACTTATTGGAGACACTTTAACTTTTTCCTTTGTATTTTCATTGTATTAGATAAATAAATGTGAATGTAAAATTGTATAAATTAATGTACTTGAATACTTGTCTGTTCTCCCAGTATGCTTGCTGGATATTTTAGTGCCTTGGACTTCCATTGCTTCTGCAGTCAGCGTCGTCTTCCCAGCAGACCCCCAGGCGGGCAGAGGGCAGGTTCGGAGCAGGACGGGTTACTGGTGGTCCCCGGTGACTGGGACTCTGGAGTTTGTTCGGTGATACCATCACTGCGCAGGGTCGGCGTGCGGAGGGGGAAGTCATGGAGGCAGCGGGCTGGAGCGGCGGTCGGTGTCGGGGGAGCTTGGCCAGGCGGGCGTGAAGTTGCTGGTGTGAGAGGGGCCGGGTGGGTTGGGGTGGAGGGTTGTGGGGGAAGACGGGACTGACCAGTGCTGTCTGCGGAGGCCGGAGTTGTGGATCGGAAAGGGAGAGAGGCTGGGGGGAAGGTGTGTCTTTGGGAAAGGCCCAACTTACGATGCAGTTGGACTCCACCTGCGAAGCGGCGGAGGTGTTTGGTCAGGATGTGACTTGAGGGAGAGGTGCTGTTGCTCGTTGGCGTGGGCTTGTCTGCTGGGATCGCTTTTCTTACCTTTTTTTCGGTAAAACCCAATTAAGCCAGGAATAGACTGTCCTGGCGCGACGTCCATTGCCGGCAATGGACGTACTTGAAGCAGCCGGCATCGAGAAGCCTCCTCTGTCTTACCCGGAGGATTTACGATTCTGTTCACTCTGACAAATTCCAAGCTGGTACCAGGACTGTAACTGTCTGTCACCTCTCAGCAACTGTACTGTACCTTCTGTTTTGGTCATTCTCCCTTTTCATATTTAAAAAATACTGGTTTCCTCTTCAAAGTAAAAAAAAAAAATAATACCAGCCAGTATTTACGTAGTGCTGCAAAAAGCTGTGAAGGGTGGGAGTGCTGCTTTCCTGGTCCTCGGGAGCAGCTCCCCGCTGTCCTGGAAGCTGGTGCGTCACGGAGAGGTTGCTTGCCTGAATTTTTTTTCTAGGACTGGGGAGCCTTTGTAGGGAGTTCTTGTGTCTGTGGATGTTCTCACTCTGCCATTTTTACAAAGGATCCGTCCCTTTCCTGTCCCGCCGCCCCTCCGGCCGAGCGGATGCAGAGAAGCGCCCGGAACGCGCCCTGGGGGAACGGGAGCGGTGACAAAGCCGGGGCAGTAACGAAGCAAGGGGAACGTTCACGACAGGGGAAGCGGTCAGTCGGATGCAGCATGTGGGTATTTAATTTTGATCTAATAAGTTTGAGGTCGTTTTTTCACTTGATGTTATGCAAGAACTGGTTTTATTTACCATTGATTCCCCCCCCCGCCCCCTCCTGTGGATGAATAACTGAAGTCTAGAGGAATAAACTAATGCTACTGAACTGTTAAATTATTTTGTTTAATATTACACTTTGAGTATCTTTTTCCACATAAAATCTGTTTCTGAATTACAAGCGTTTTCTTTACATTATTTAACAATGTACACTGTAAAAAATAAAAATAAAAAAAAATAAAATTGAAACTTTGGGCTTCCCCAGCTGTAGTTAGTTGTATGTTTTGCACTAAACCCAGGCACTGCGCTGCTTGTACGACTGCGCTTCGTGCTGCAATTTGTTACCTTTGTAGAATATTTAATGAAGTCATTCAAATAAACCAAACCTGCTTTTGTTGAGCTGTGGGTTTTCTTGTTGAACAGCAGGTTCCAGCCTCTCCGTCCTCTTCCCGGAGCAATTTAGCTGTTTACCCAGTTTCCCAGTCTGTCACAGGGAAGGACAAGAAACCCGTTTTAACGAGACCCTTAACTTCTCAAAAGCAGTGATCGATCGTGAGCCTTTGGCCTTTTAACAGGCTGCTCTGAAAACAAGGCACTGTAAAGAGTAATTCATAACACGGATCTTCTGCGTGAGAGGAGGGGCAGGGCGGAAGGGAGGGGAAGGGGTGGGAGACAGCGGATAAGCAGCGTCCTGATTTTTGGCTGAGGCTGTCGAGAAGTTACCCGGGAGCAGAGAAAGGCGCTTTCGCTGTTGGAAGCAGCCATGGAGCTTCCCAGGCAGCAAAGCTGGAGCAGGGTGTGCGGCAGGGGCTGGGGGAGCCTTCCTCCTCCTCCTCGTCCTCCTCTTTTGGGCCTGTTGCCCTCCTCTCTGGGGCGGGAGGGAGCAGGGGTGTGGACCGGCCGTGCTGGGGAGAAGAAACTCTTTGGTGTAGATGTATGCTAGGAATTCAGTCCCCAGATCTGTGACAGTACTGGTGAAGAGTGCAACTACTTCACAGGGTTGTTCTCAAACAGCTGTAGACTTGCAGGAATAATTCGGTATTTCTAAACAATTAATCGCTGCTGCTTTTCTTTCCATTTTAAGAACAGCTTCTGGAATGAGTCATGCTGCTCAAGGGGGAAAAAAAACCAAACTCCCAAGTAAAAGTTTTACTGCCCTTTGAAAAAGGACCGATCCCGAGAGGCTTATGGCGGTGATTTCTCTCGGAGGAGGCGCGGCTGTGCCTGCTGTTTCTGTAGAGTCAGGAAAGCTGGTGCGGCTGCGTTTACCTGAGACTTCCAGTTCTTCATTGCAAAGTTTTTGGGTGGCATTGAATAGGGTCATTCTGAGTGTCTGCACGCTCTCTTCCCGACAGGCAGCTGATTTCAGCAGCGAGTGCCTGGCTCAGACGCGCGGTACGTATTTCTTCCCTGAGCTGTTCTGAACGCAGCATGGAATTGGAGAGAAATAAGCACAGTGAAATGTGAAACTATTTCCTAGATAGAATCTGTTACAGTTAATTATAATTTGTCCTGTCATTCCATACTGAAGTCAATCCTTGTTCTCTGTCCTGTTGAGGAGGTAAGTGGATAGCAGAGGAGCTTCAAGGAAAGAGGACTGATTAACTGGTCAAAGTAAGGAGGAACAGGAATAAATGCTGAATAATTCGAATGTATCTGTAATTAGAGTGCTGTGAGAGACTTGACCAGATAGAGCGGTGATGGTGAAGCGCAGGAACAAGGTCCTGTTTCAAGGCTGACGCCGATTCCAGGGTTGCACTCATCAAAGGGCGTCTGTAAATTTTCTGGTCCAGCTCTAACCTCCTCCCCTGCGGTGTCACCCTCCTTGTCTCCAGCGCTGCACTGCTGAAGAACACGGCCGTGTCCAGTCTGAAGTACTGCTTGAAATCCTTCCTTTGAAGACCCAGCTGTTGCTTTGCTCTGAAGCTGAAGGCCCACTCGAGGTTTTCTGTTGCCCCTCTTAAAGCACAGGTAAGGCTGCGCCGACGCGGTTGTCTCTTCAGCCTCCTACCCGCAGCCAGTCCAAATGCGTTCACTCCTCCTAGCTTCTTGAACAGGAAACGAGTCGTAAAATGGTTTGAAGGGTACAGAGGCATGAACAGCTACAGGCCTGGTTTGTTTTTCAAATTCGATGTTTATTTTTCTATTGAGAAGAGTTCAAAGCTTATTTAAAACCAGCAGTGCGGCTCCCGTTCGTTTCGCAAAGGGCCCAAGCGGACGCTGCCCGAGCCGCTGCGTGCAGCTCCCCGGCAGCGGTCCCAGCGGGCTCTGACCCACCGGCAGCCCGCGGGCGGGGG